CGAGTAGGAACAAGCTTCCATTCTTAGATGTGCCTATGTACAGGAAAACCGCTAAACTAAACACCAATGTATAGAAAAAACCTGTCTCCACCGGAAGTGACATAAATCTTCATCTCCACATCCACAAAATCAGCCCTGGTTTAAATTCTATACTTGCGCGATAACATGGGACAGTATGATAACACAGTATTTTCGCCTTTCTTTCAGGATTGTCGTTCAGTGGAGTTCAAACAGAATGATTTCAACATACTCCATCCTTGTGACGCGCGCTTCTGGCGCCATCAATCATGAATGTCTGGCAGGCACGCGCATGTTATGCAGCAACAAATCAATCACTGCCCCTAACACCCCGAATTTCCATCCAGCGTCAACCGAGCCTTGACAGCTGTGGTGTCACTTACGGCCATTCCGTTTACGTTGTCACAACTCTAGGCAGCGTAACGCACTGGCAAGTATAATGAACTGTCAAAACCGCATCAACCTTATACATAACATATACCTAGTTATAATCTGTGCATATGGATCGAGGTATATTCGTTGGTGTTAGTACTTGATTTTGTTCGACGTGACAAAGTGGCGTTGTTTATCGCTCATACACTGTAGATGATAAAATACCATGAAGCCGTAGCTTGCTTAAAGGGCCCCTTAGACCACTAGAAACAATGGGATGACACGCTGCGACTACGCAGAGTAAATCGGCACAAATGACAGCAGATTATTATTCTCGATTAGTAATTTCCCGACCTGACCTTTTTATTTACGTTAAAACAAACATTGGAACAGCTCTAATTTTACCACAGAACAGTGGGTTTACTCTATCAACTGTTTGTACACAACTGATTTCTGCTCTTGCATTAATTTCTGTGCCGTTCGTGTAACTTAACGATGATTTGTTTGTAGGAAACGCATCGCTACAGCAGTATTTAAGTGCCCTGGAATACATGCACTTCATAATTTTGATCGAAAGTGATTGAACGGCAGAGTCAGATTTGTATATCAGTTGTAATGCGTGTCTTCCCGTATACCAAACAAGAAAAATACCCATGAACGTTGTGCTTCAGTATGACGGAAAGAAAGGACAGACGGCTTTAATTTTGTGCTCAAAACTGAATCTTGACCGACTTGAGATACAGCGTGCAAATAGGTCTGAGTGGAAGACAAGAAGAATATCATCCACATTATACATGAGTCGTGCAGAATCAAGGTTACTATTTGCCATAAATCTTCAAAATTCTGCGTTTGGTAAAAGGTTCAATATATGCTAATAAAAATATCCACTGATAGGTAACAGAGGAAGACAGAGGGGAGAAGGGGGAGGGGTAAATCCATTATTATTACACTCTTGCGTATGCGGATCAAGAAGCGTCACTGACGACAGGTACAGAGGGCAGCGTACCTTGAAATCTTCGTCGGACAAAAGACTGAGAAGAAAGACAACCACGTTCTGCGGGTACTGACCGGGAATCAACCAAAATATGATCTCGTCCAGAAGGCTTTCATGTTGCAACTTTGTCAGAAGTTCCGGGCAATCTATGTTCATCAAATTATGCCGTCTAAATCCTGGCAATCAAAGCTTTACCGCTACCGAACGACGTCACATCGCGTACGTTGTATATACTGCGTACGTCGATTAAGGACTTCATGTAAGCTGATTGGGCGTCATTCATGCGATCATAATCTTCATGGTTCGCCGGCGGAACTAAACAAAGCATCAAAGGTAACAGACTACAGCAGCTTATGTTTCGTGCGATTGGCGGATAACCACTTACGAGCAGTCGCCGACTGGTAAACCTGCAGATCCGTCAATGACACTGCCAGCAGTTTCTTCATCGTCGAACCATGGTTGCTCAGCTCTTGCAAAAAATCGACCAACTGGTCAAATGGGCGTTTAAATCCCAACCGGGCATCTGTAATACCTAAAGGAAAAAGAACAGTTTTCTTTTAACCTCATGGACGGTCATTTCTGATACAAACCTTTGTCTATACCGTAGAACTCTCGGAAAACAAAAAGTAACTTTGACAGTAAAGCTGGAAACAAAATTTCTGCCGTGTAGAACAGATCGGGCGGGGCGAATTTCTTTTCGGCAGAAGACTTTGGACCATGACGAGGACAGAAACTAAAATGCAACAAGACTGATCATAAAATGCACTCATCGGCTATCTTCTGTAAAGCTGTCACAACTAGTTCAAAGAGTCCATATAATGGATGTAAAACCATAGCCAGATCAGCTCAGTTTATGAAGTTAATTTCGACTCAGCGTAAAGTAAACTAGCCCCTCTTGTGAAACAATGGAGCGATTCGGATCATGGCCTTAAATCTCTCACCATAATCAACTTTTTTTTTGATCCAGTGTTGGATGAAAGCCTCTCGAAGACTTTGTCATAAACCTTGATTTCCTGCGATTCTTATCGATAACGGCGCAACGAACTTTTTCACTTCATGCTGCTATCTATCTAACGTCTCTCTGGTGCAGTAATACCCAGTTCTTCTTACAGTGTGCCTTTCCCATTGCCATTTTAACTTCTTTACTCAGACAAAAACTTCACAGATTCTTGTATGTACTCTTATCCGCTCATTCTTCTTTACATCTTTAGTTTTAATTAATAACATACATCTTTCCATTCAAAAGTGTTCCTTGCCATTTACACTTTTTTGATGAATTTCACAGAATGGGTTTTCCGTCTTAAACAGACGTTATTTGGCACTGATTCAAGTCGTCCAGTTCCATTGATTTCAACAAGTCTGAGGACCGCGTTCTTATTAAGCATAACCTGAGTGCCATTCAGGCTTATTTTCAGTCA